CCTCCCAAAGTGCTGGGATTACAGGCTTGAGCCACCGCGCCTGGCTTTAATGCACTTTTCTAAAATATGTGACTCATCTAGGCGGGCATCTTTGAAACTACTCTGTACTGACCTGGGCATTGTCTATTTCTTCCTCTGCTGCCCTTGCCAGACCCTGCGGGAGATTGTGATTGGCGTCCTGCACCAATTGAAAAACCAGCTTTACTGACCAGTTCTTGGAAACCTGCAGAACAGCCAACAAGAGGCCCTTGAATCTCTACTTGGCCACTGAACTGCTGGGCCCGTGAGACTGGACTACAACACCTCACACTGCTCAGCTGGTTTCTACTTGGTGTTTGGTTTTCCCAGCCCCATTTTATCTTCAGTGGAGCTGCGGTGTTTTGTGAAAGCTTCTGATTAATTTATTATATTGACGATAAAACTAGACCTAACCAGCCTATCCCCCACTCCATGGAAGTCCTTGGGATGGGTGTCTGCTCTGGACACCCCAAAGAGCTCCTGCCCTCTCAGCCCTTTCTTCAAGCCTCAGATTTCTACTCATAATCTACACAGATTTGGAAACTTTTTTCTCTGTTTTGGTCTCTTGGGCAACATTTGGCCCACATTTGGGCATTTTGGCAGTAGCTGTATGGGAGAAAAAGAGTAAGAGGAAATATTCCCACTGCCACGAAGGGTGAAAGGGCACCTTGTGCCTAGACTAGGGCTGCCTGGTCAGTCCCAGGTGAGGCCAAGGGCTTTCTGGCCATCTTAGGGAGGGGCCACCAGGTTCCTCCCCTCGCTTCATAATCCATCACCTTCCTCCTCTGCTCTGGGTGGTAAGGGAAGCCCTCCTGGTTCCCACAGGCTGTGATGCTGCAGAGGCAGGTGTAATACAGCAGTACATACTGGAAATTTTTTATTTTTCTAAATACCAATGGAATTTTGCTACGGTTACAATTTTGAAATATTAAGTGGGCCTCAAAATCACCCCCAGCCTTTCTGTCTAGCATATCTTGGCCTCTCCCATGTCTCAGTGTTGCCTGCGTTTCTCCTAGGACTTGGGGGTGGGGTGAAAGAGTACAAAAGATACTCGAAAGGTCTCCTGGGGTACACAAGCCCAGTAAGTCCTGAGTGAAGCTGTGGGCCCTCCAAATGCTCGTTTTATAGCAACCTCGCTCTGCCTTAGTTCTCCAGGTTCACTTCTGCCTTCCTCAGGTTTGGTATCTGGCAGATTTGACTATCCAGAGGAAATTAAATATTTTTATATCAAATTAAATTACAATAAATGTTGCCAAATGCTTTCCTTTAGCATTGTTCAAGTCTAAATGTTAACCTCAAGCTACTGCAATTTAGACAATGAAATGGGCTGGGTCTACCCCAGCCACCAGCCCTCATCCTCCACCCAGTGCTCTGGTTTATGCCCGTCTCCTGACTGCTTTGCTTAAAGGTGAAAAGCAGCAGGAACAACAACAAAAGCCAACCAAAAACAAGGTAGCCAGTCCAGGACGTCTCACTCTTCTGACATCCTGCAGTCCCCACAACTCCCGACTGTGGGCCCCTCAGGGGTCTGGGAGTGTGACATTGTAATCTTCATCCGTCTCTATCCCAACTTCCTCCTGTGGGCAGGGAGAGAAGTGAATGAGATGTCACCAAGATAAGACCACAGGGAAGCAAAGAAGGAAGAGAGTACCACTTACAAAGAACTGCTTCTTGCTCTTGGGGTATCCTTCAAGTATTGCATCAGACAGCTCTGTAGCCTGACAAGAAATAAAACCACCTGTTTTCAGATGGGCAGCACTGGGCACTACCTGTCAGTTTATGATATTGGGTGGCAGTTGATCTGGTGCCTGCCATTTTCAAAAGCACTTCTAGGGCCTGTCTCAGAGCTCCCACACACTTACCATCCTCTTCCTCTTCCTCCACTCCTTACAGTACTTCTGCCTCTCTCTGTATACCTAGAAGGAAAAAGCAAGTTCCCCTAACTCCTCAGAACCACAGCAGCCCTCTGGGCTCAGCCTTTATATTCACTCTGGACCTGCACAGCGGTCCTCCAGCCTCCAGCTCACCTGCTCTTTCTCTTCTGGAGTCACATGATTGGTAGCTGCTTTAATGTTCTTCAATCTCTCGCTGTAGCCAGCACATTCCTTCTTTAACTCCTGGATTTCTTTCTGCATCTCTGGTGTGGTCAGGGCACTAGATAATTCCTTGAGCTCTGAAACCACACCCCCTGGGGTCACTTGCTACCCCTGAGGAAGGAGTTCTGTCTTTCCCAGTGGGTGCTCCCTGAGGTGTTCAACCTTGCTCTGGATCTATCATCTCATATGGAAAAGCTCAGGAAACTAAGTCTTACAGGATTATTAGTTTATTCTTCTAATTTTCTTTCCTCCTCCATCTACAAGTAGCATGGGTGTGAGGTTGAACACTTAGGCATAGCCAGTTAAAGCAGCAAGAATAAAGGGAAACGTGAGGACAGTGTACTGATAATTGTGGCAGGGAGAGCAAATGCGTATCTTGTCCATTTGTTGGTACACAAAAGCCATTAGTTATCCTACATTTCGTTTTATGCCTAAGGGAGCCCAGCAAAGGGGTCTTAGCTGCAACAAGATGCTGCAGTCATTGAACCATTCATTTAGTAATTCCCGACCTCTAGAATGAACCTAAGCCTATGGGCACTTTTCAGGAGCTACCCAGTCCTACCAGCCTCCATGTAGCGGCAGCTCTGCTGCAAGCTCTGCACCTTAGCAGTGAGGGTCACGATTTTGCCATCTAGGCCTTGAAGGTCAGCATCACTCACCATGTCAAACTGGTCCTACCAGACAAAGGGAAAATACAAGCAAACTGTTGTGAGGCACAAAGATGGGAACACACACCTGGGAAGGCACCATTTAGATATGTTCAGGAACCAGCCACACCCCAAACTCTCCAGAGGGTCTGCAGAAATAGTGGGAGAGTACTTTTGAGAAATCGTTTTCAGTTAAGGAGCGACCCCACTAAAAAGGTAGGAAAGAAAACCTGAAATCTAATGCCTGTCCTTAAGCAGCTACCAGGTTGACACGATACTGATTAGGACAGAAATCTTCCCATTCGGTGATAAAACCACTACCTGGGCTGAAGCAGCTAAGTAACATTGTTCTCAAGGTGGGGAAACCTAGATCATGGGTTTCCATAATAGATAGAAACTGGACAGGTGAAGAAGCATGATGGATGGGATGGATGGACTTCTTTTCTCCTTCTTTCCTGTCCTGCCTTCCCATTCTTCTTTCCATCTTCCTTTCTCTCTCTCCCTCCTTCCTTTTCTCCCCCCTCCCTTCCTTCTTCCTTCCTTTCTCCTCTCTCTGTCTCTCCCTCTCTCTCTCTTCCTCCTTCCCTCTTTTCCTTTCTTTCTCTCACTGTCGCCCAGGTCAGAGTGCAGCGGTGCAATCTTGGCTGACAGCAATCTCCGCATCCCGGCTTCAAGCAATTCTCATGCTTCAGCCTCCTGAGTAGCTGGGATTATAGGCGTGTACCACCAAGCGCAGCTAAGTTTTGTATTTTTAGTAGAGAAGGGGTTTCACCATGTTGCCCAGGCTGGTCTCAAACTCCTGGGCTCAAGCGATCCATCCGCCTCAGCCTCTCAAAGTGCTGGGATTACATGCATGAGCCACTGTGCCAGGCCTTGGGATCCATGTAGATAACGGATTCCAGTAAGTCTGAGGAGCTCCTCTCATGAGGGGCCACTGCTAGAAAATAACTGCATTGGGGATCAGTGTGGGGGTGGGGGAGGTCACATCAGTTGGTGATGGGGAGCAGGTTGAAAAAGTATGCCAACCAGTGCGGTCTGGACTCTACACTTGGGCAAGGTGAACCTATAGGGCAGAGACCAGCAAACTATGGCCAGCAAGCCAAATCCTGCCAGATGCATGTTTTTGAAAACAAAGTTTTATTGAAACAGCCCTACCCATTCATTTACATAGTCTACAGCTGCTTCGGCTCTACAGTGGCAGAGGTGAATAGTTGTGGCAGTTGTACAGCCAGCCATGACAAGAGATACATATATGGCCCACAAATCCTAAAAATACTGTCTGGCCATTTACAGAAAACGTTTGCCAAACCCTGCTTTAGAGAATTTTCTTTAGATGAGTAACACAACACAGCCTGTTTTAGGAAAGTTGGCCTTGAAAGTGGTTTGGTTCAGTTTAACGAGTAGTATCTGCTGGATGTTAGATACTGCGGAGGTGCTGATCAGATAAAAATGAATTGAGAAATGAGGTCTGCCCTAGAGGAACTTCAGTTGAATAAAGGAGACAAGTAAAAATAATTGTAATACAGCATGCCTTAAAACAGATAAGGGCCAGGGCCGGGTGCGGTGGCTCACGCCTGTAATCCCAGCACTTTGAGAGGCTGAGGCAGGTGGATCACAAGGTCAGGAGATGGAGACCATCCTGGCTAACACGGTGAAACCCCATCTCTACTAAAAATACAGAAACAAAACAAAACAAAACAAAAATTAGGTGTGGTGGGGGGTGCCTGTAGTCCCAGCTACTCAGGAGGCTGAGGCAGGAGAATGGCGTGAACCTGGAGACCATCCTGGCTAACACGGTGAAACCCCATCTCTACTAAAAATACAGAAACAAAACAAAACAAAACAAAAATTAGGTGTGGTGGGGGGCGCCTGTAGTCCCAGCTACTCAGGAGGCTGAGGCAGGAGAATGGCGTGAACCTGGAGGTAGAGCTTGCAGTGAGCCGAGATAGCGCCACTGCACTCCAGCCTGGGCGACAGAGTGAGACTCTGTCTCAACAATGACAACAACAAAAAACAACAACAACAAAAAGAGGTAAGGGCCTGAAAAGGAAACAATTAGCTCAGGGCATTCAAGGAAGATTTCTGGAGAAGGTGATGTCTAAGTGAAATCCTAAAGGAAAGTAAGAGTTGGCCAGCAAGAGAAGCAGGTACAGGGAAGACAACATGCGAAGGACAGAGCAGTAAAACACATCAGAATTATCTAGTGTTCGTGGATAGAAAAAGGATGAGGATGGGTGAGGCCAGAGGCTGGCTGGGGTGTCTTCCGGTGCCTTTTACATGTTTTTTGCAGCACTAGAGAGCCACTGAAGAGTTTCAAATAGGGAAGGTGCATGACCAGATCTATTTAGACAGATCATTCTGACTGCAATGTTTAAGCCAAGATCTGTTAGGAGGATGTTGCAACAGATGAAGAGGGCGTGAACTAGAGCAGCCATGGCAGATGGAAAGGAGAGTGGATTCAAGAACGGAAAAATCAGCCAGGCTCTGTGGCTCACGCCTGTCATCCCAGCACTTTGGGAGGCCAAGACAGGAGGATCACTTGAGCCCAGGAGTTCAAATCAACCTGGGCAGCATAGCAAGACCCATCTCTATAAAAATAAAAAAACAGACAACGGAAAAATCAGCCGGACTTGACGGTTGACTAGTAATGGAAGTCAAGAATTGCTCCCAAGTTTCTGGTTTGCGTGAAGAGTAATTCCATTAGGGAGAAGAATGTTAGAAAGAAACCAGTGCGGGGTGGGGGGAAGATGAGGCATTCTACTGTGGCAATTTTGACTCTGATATTAATGCCTGACAGATTCCAGCTGGAGGTCTGGGCTGGAGAATATAAATTTGATATGTGTGTTTAGAGAAGCGGATGGAGGCAGGACGAACATCATTTGTCAGAGGGTGTTGCCAATCTGGATGATAAGAAATAAGAGCTTTGAAGCAGATATGAATCTTGGTAGCAACAATACAGGATCTACTGTCATCCATCATATTGTAAATTTGGAAACCTCGTGAAGTTGGGATCCTAACAAGAGGAATGCACACCTTGATTTAAGGATGGTGGCCTAAGACAGGCGAGTTTTCCATGGGGGGCCTCTCCCCAAAAGAGTTCACACTAGGAGTAGATTCACCCGTTGTCGGGCTCTCATAGGTGACAATTGGCGCAGGTTCTCCTCACCTGATCCGCAAAATAGATTTTCTGCTTGCCGTACATCTTCTCTTTGATCTTGCCTTGTTGTGCCAGCTGCTCCAGCGTCTTCACCACCACCTGGCAGAGGAGACAGGAGGGGCAATCAGAGGAGTCTGGGCCTGGTTCTGGGGAAATTCTGCCAGTGATGTGGAAAACGCCCAAGGCTCCAAAGGGCACGACCCCAGTCTGATTCCAGGGAGTCCGACGGAGAGGGAATCCCGGGAGGGGGTCCTCACCGCCTTGCCCAGTCCGTGTTCCCGCTGCAGGTTCCCGAACACATCCTGGGCGCTGTAGGGCCGGTTCTGCTCCTGCAGGTACCTCAGGAGGATCCCGGCGGCTACGGAGAAAAAGGGGAGGGGACCACTCAACCGACCTCCTCACCCACTGCCCTCCCGGGTCTTCCCCGCGCCCAGGCCGCCGTTACCTCCCGCCGCAGCTTCTGCCCGGCATTTACTCATCGCCTTTCCCGCCACCCAACTCAGAAAGCCGGACGTTGTAGTTGCTCGGGGCGACGGCTCCTTCCGGGGACGGGGGGCGGACCTCGAACGGTGATTGGCTGAAGGGGAAGCCTTCCGGAGGAACAAGGCGACCCCTCCCGGACCCCATAGTTCATTTCAGGCCGGAACTTGCGCATCCGGGCCGGACCTCGAGCCCAGGGCCTCTGCGAAGGCGCCGACGTGCCCACAGCTGAGCAGCTTCCTCTTTCTGCCCCAGGGAACGAAGGCTGTAGCAGAGAAGGCCTTCAATTTTCGAGATCCAGTTCCAGCCGCAGCTGAGCACTGGTGACCTTGAGTTAGGTCGAGTGTTGGGACTGGAAGACACTTCAGACATCAGCTGCCGCGCTGGGCAAGCGACCAGCTCAAGGTTACCCCACAGGGACGTGCCCTGATCCCACGGTCCAGCGCTCTTTTGTCGGTTAGTTTTGTCATTTGTAAAATAGGAACAGTAGATAGTGATAGGAAAGTGGTTGTGAAAACAACACAAGTGGTTGTGAAAGCTAAGCGCCTTGGTCGGGCACTGTGGCATGTCACGCCTGTAATCCTATCACTTTGGGAGACTGAGGCGGGCGGATCGTTTGAGCACACGAATTCGAGACCAGCCTAGGCAACGTGAAACCCCATCTCTGCAAATAAAGTACAAAAAGTTAGGCGTGGTGGCGCGCTCCTGTGGTCCCTGCTACTCTGGAGGCTGAGGTGGGACGGTCACCAGAGCCCCGGAGATCGAGGCTGCAGTGAGCCACCATTAGCACGCCACTGCAGCCTGGCGACAGAGCGAGACGCAGTCTCGAACAAAAAAGTAGGAAGGGGACAACTAAGCGCCTTGGAGAGCAACCACCCTTATTTGCCTAATACCGAGCTTCGCACCCAGGGGGCACTCGACACCTGCTGTAGTTTGGACGCCAAGGAAAGATAGGGTTAGGAGGGGGCCACTGTTCAACCACAAAGCTTGTGGAAAAGTTTGTTAGCCCAGTCAATCTCAGGGCAACACCTGGCAGGTGCTTTCCACCCCTGACCACAGTGGCCAATGGGACAGAGCCTGAAATAAGTATTTCTAGTTTCTGAGGTCAGCTGAAAGCCAAAGAGCAGCTGTCCCTTCAGCTCAAACGATCCAGTGGAGGAGCAAGGTGCTACTTTTTAAAGCCTTCTGCTACCTACAGCCTCCTTAACCTTTAAAACGTGTGCTTGTCTCTGCACGTTTAGGAGACAATATTAAGAATTAGAAATGAAGTCGCCGAGCGCGGTGGCTCACGGCTGTAATCCCATCACTTTGGGAGGCCAAGTTGGGCCCATCACGAGGTCAGGAGATCGAGACCATCCTGGCTAACATGGTGAAACCCCATCTCTACTAAAAATACAAAAAATTAGCCGGGTGTGGTGGCAGGCGCCTGTAGTCCCAGCTACTCGGGAGGCTGAGGCAGGAGAATGGCGTGAACCCAGGAGGTGGAGCTTGCAGTGAGAGGAGATTGCCACTGCACTCCAGCCTGGGCAACAGACGGAGACTCCGTCTCAAAAAAAAAAATTAGAAATGAAGGAAATACAGGCTAAATACTAGCCAAGAGTGCCAGTTATGCTGATGGTGGGGCTCTCACAGGAAGGAAAGTAGCCTCATACAATGGTGATGTTCTGGCCATCACAAAGGAAAAATAGGGGTGGGCTGGTGGGTCCCTCATACCTGGGCTTCCTCTTTTAAGGCTATCACTTCAAATTAATCAGAACTCATATTTACAAAAGAAGACCTATCAAGGGTAGGACACCACTCAGCATCAGTCTCTTAAAGATTGTTCTCATACAAGATTTATTCCCCAGCACACCCCTCCCCTCCTCAGTTCACAGTGGAGACTACGGAGATTCAGAGTAGGATTCCCCCAGATACAAGAAACACCTTCCGAAGATTTTACTCTCCTTCCTTCCCTCCCTCTTGCCAACTCCCAAGGCCTGAAACACACACTCATGCAAACACACGAAATCCCCCTCCTTCCCCACACCTCCTGTCTTTCCACATCAGAGCTCACCTGTAAAACATCTGAACTTGAGAAGTGTCCAAAGTCTGTTTGAGAACCCTAAAGTGGGGAGATGCCATTACCCCTGACCACCCCACTGTGACTATGAGACACCTAACTCTTCCCCCTTCTTACTGTCAACCATTTTCACTCCCTGGCCTCTGTACCTTCTCCATCAACCAAGAGCAAACATGTCAGCACACCCCCACCTGCAGTACATGAAAACAGGCTCTGTCCAACATCCCTCACCCAAGTACAGGGGTGTTGGGGGAGTGGCCCCTGAGGATCAGCAAAGGGTTAATGCAGAAGGAAAGAGGACAGGAGAGTTTGGCTTGAGCTCTGATTGGGGAGGCAGAGGCTATAGACTGGCACAGGTTTAGAATCAATTACCATGTTTAGGTTTCTGTCTCACATGATTTCACTGGGGGCTGCAGAACAGATACCCCTCAGAGGGGTCTCTGCTGACTACAGCCACATTCTTACCATTGGCTCATCGTTAAAGGAGGCCCCACCAAGTTAGGAATAAAAGCTGTAAAGGAGCTGAACAGGAAAAAAGAATAGGTGGTGCAAGAGATTATGTATGGCCCCTGGGGTGAATGACATGGAGCCATTTGTAAAGTGCTACTGTATCATCCCCCCATGGAATTATTGCTTCTCCAAAGGAAGAGCAGAGGAAGGAACAGGAACGTAGAAATGAGTACGGTATTGCTTTGCTCACTGCTGAGGCTGATGGCCAAATGGACCCAGGGGTTATCAGAAACCAAAGATTAACCACACAGCTCCAGAAGACTCAGTGAGACCTCAAAATACAGAGGTGCTCACTAATCCTCCCAGCCAGCTGATCCCCCTGGGCCAAGGTAATGTAGAAGAGGCCCATCCCCACATCATATTCACATTTCTTAAATTTCACAAGCAATGCTTTGGAGCACTGGGGTTCAGGCCCCAAGAAATGAGGATGGGCTAGAGAGGGAGCAGGCCTGTTCTGCAAAACCAAAGGACAAGTTTACTTTAAAAAAAAAAAAAAAAAAAAATCATGCTGGACACAGTGGCTCACACCTATAATCCCAACACTTTGGGTGGCTAAGGTGGGCTGATCATTTGCGGTCAGGAGTTCTAGACCAGCCTGGCCAACATGGTGAAACCCTGTCTCTACTAAAAACAAAAAAAAAAATTAGCCGGGCATGGTGGTGCATGCCTGTAATCTCAGCTACTGAGGAGGCTGAGGCAGGAGAATCGCTTGACCCGGGAGGCGGAGGTTACAGTGAGCCGAGATCATGCCACTGCACTCCAGCCTGGGCGACAGAGCCAGACTCTGTCTCAAAAAAACAAAAAAAAAAGAAGAAAGAAATCAAATCCTGGTTTAACAAGAGAAGATGACTAATCCCAGCACTTTGGGAGGCCAAGGCAGGTGGATCACTTGAGGTCAGGAGTTGGAGACCAGCCTGGCCAACATGGTGAAACCCTATTTCTACTATCAAAAAAAATTAGCCGGGCTTAGTGGTGGGCACCTGTAATCCCACTACTCAGGAGGCTGAGGCAAGAGAACCTCTTGAACCTGGGAGCCAGAGGTCGCAGTAAGCCAAGATCACACCACTGCACTGCAGCCTGGGCAATAGAGCAAAACTGTCTCCAAAAAAAGATGATGACAATGTAACTACTCCAGCTGCTGCCTGACTTTCGGGGCTCTAGGGAGGCGATGAAGGGAGGAAGGCAGGCATGGGCTCTTTCCATGAGGGCCCCTGAGCACTCATACCTAAAAGCAAACAACAGCACCTCCTCAAAGGGGAACCAATATCCCTGACTACTTTGTTCACTCCAAAGTACCATCCTGATGGAGAGAAGCCTCCCTTGGGGGAGCACACTCTCACTTCAGTGGCTGAGCTCAGAAATGGGCATCCAGCTGGTGGGAGGGGAGTGAGTGTCCTCTCTAAGCAGGCCTCTGAACATCAGCCAGGCCACGCAGCATACAAATATAATTCAGGGGAGGGGAGCTGAGTTCTTCTCTTGCCCCATCACCTTAAGTGGGATGGGGAGAAAAAAAACCTAAACCACAGTGACTCCCAAAAGGAGTCTCTGCCTCAGTGGCTCCTAGAACTGGCAGGGTCCAGCTGATTCAGCTCCGACTGGTCCAGAAGTTCAAAGTCATCCCCCTCAGCATCAGTGTCCAGGTCTGAACTGGGGGACCGGAGGAAGCCTCTTGTTGCTCTCTGGGCAGGTGCGCCAGAAGGGCCTGGTTGGGAGGCCCCTGACAAGGCCAGCTGAATCATACTCTGGGAGACCAGGCTGGCAAGGTTGCTGGTGAGGTTGGATCCTACAGGCAGAGCACCAAGCAGGAGCTCTGGCAGCGCAGCCTCGTCCCGGCTGGCAGGTGGGGCCTGGGGCTCCTCAGCCCCTGGCGGGGAACGGTACATCAAGCTGGGCATGCCAATGCTAGTGTCGTCCTCATCATCCAGGCCAGCAGGATCCACATTAATGGAAGGGAAGTCTGGAAGGTCTCTCGCAAAGGATTCCTCTGGATCACTGTGACCATCTAGGTCTGGTAGAATACAGAAGTGTCTTGAGTCATGGCACCTACCTGACCCTCCTGTGCCGCATCCCCACATGACCAGATTTTTCCCACCCTGGCTTTCTCAGGGTGAAATAAACCCATGGGACTGGTGTAACTTTCCCCTCCACTTATAGATGGCTGTGATCTCTACGGGCCACACAATTCCCCCTCTCTTCTTCTACGCCCCCTGTGAGGCTAGTGCCTGAGGCTACTAAGGGACTAAAGGCTTCGAGAAGGGCAGCAGTGCCATCCTGGCTGTAGCCACAGCCCTCAGGCTGCTCTGCCACCTGATCCATAGCTCAGAAAACAGGAGAGGAGCAGGCACCAGTATCCCCTCTGTTCAGGGACGCTAAGAGGCAACAGTCAGAGCCATTATCAACTGAGGTCAAAGGCTCCCCTCACCTTCAGAACCTTCCGTTAGAGGTGTTTGGCCCCTTGAAAGATTGAATGTGCCATTGTCTGTACAGGAGACTTCAGCATCTGAGTGCTCAGAGTCTGTGATGGCCAATTCCCTGGCAACAGTAGAATCGTCCAGCTTAGGAAAAGAAAAGACCAA